AGGAATGAAACATCTCCATCGTGTGGTCAGTTGCAAAAAATCAGAATTTTTTTTCTAAAAACCGGATAAAGACAGGTGGTGGGAGGGTATCGGCCTTTCCACAGCTGCTTTGCCCCCTCTGGCCCCAGTAGTGGGCAGGCTCACCCATCCCTTCACCCTTAAACACAAGGAATTTCCATCTTCTCTTGGGATGAGGCATAGATACAGAAACACAATCTGGAAAAACACTGAAGACAAGATGCTTATGTATAAAGCCCTACCCCACGGTGCCTATTCAGAGTGATTAGGAAATTATTTTTCTCTTTTGTTATTTTTTGCCAAGCCCACCCACACAGCAACTCCATCCTTCAAATTAATTTCAAACAAGAAATCAACCCTAAAGTGTAAACTGATTCTGAGTACAGGGAAGTTGTTTATCATAAATTGCCAATCAGTTTCAAGTAAAAGAATACAAAATACCTTACTATGCCTGCCTCATTATGCAGCTGAGGTCAATTTTAACAAATCCCTTGGATGTCCTTTCATCCTGCTTAAGATGCTGTAAGTGTTCTGTTTTGTAGAAATACAATGAGTGGTCAGACACCTTGTGTTCTTGCCAGCAGCAGATATAAGAACCCAAGTTAAAATTGTAAGTCTTTCTTTCATGAGTGAGGAATAATTAAGGTAGAGAACAGGGAGATGTGACTCAGTATGCTACTGAGGACAACAGTAATTCAAGGACTAAGTAATTCAGGCTTTTTTCCCCCCATCTTCTTCTAGACAGCCCTTAGATATGGCAGTATAATCTAATGCAACACTTGCTTGAAGCCTGTACCATGCTTTCATCTTACCACACTTCTTTTTGCTGTTCCTCTTCAGAGCTACTATCCCTCTTACCTTCCCTCCTATCAACACCAAACTCTGCGTTGCAAGCTAAGTTTCTTTCTTCCACACCCTTCTATGTGACAAAGTGTTTCTAACAGGGAACTAAGCAGGAAATTTTCTCTTTAATATGGTTTTATAGTGCAGGTTTTGGTTAGCTCTATCTTAAATGAGACATTAGGAGCCGTAGCAAGTGTCTTGCTAACACCATGTTTATGTCAAGATTTTCTCAATTCAGTAAAATATGCTTCAGTCTGTGCAAGTGAGTGACATGATCACATTGTTCCCTCACTGTCCTGGTTTCAGCTGGGATAGAGTTAATTTTCTTCCTAGTGGCTGGCCTAGTACTGAGTTTTGGATTTAGTATGAGAATAATGTTGATAACATACTGATGTTTTAGTTGTTGCTAAGTAGTGCTGACACTAGTCAAGGACTTTTCAGCTTCCCATGTTCTGCCAGGTGCACAAGAAACTGGGAGGGGGCACAGCCACAATAGTTGATCCAAACTGACCAAAGGGCTATTCCATACCATATGATGTCATGCTCAGTATATAAACTGGGGGGAGTTGGCCAGGGGGTGGCAATCGCTGCTCAGGCTGGGCATTGGTTGGTGGGTAGTGAGCAGTTGCATCACTTGGGTTTTTTTTCCTGGGTTTTGTTTGTCTCTCTCATCATTCTCTTTTTCATTACAATTTTTATTGCTATTATTATTTTTTATTTTATTTTATTTCAATTATTAAACTCTTCTTATCTCAACCCATGAGTTTTCTTACTTTTGCCCTTCCAATTCTCTCCCCCATCCTACTGGGTGGGGGGAGGGTGTGCAAGTGGTTGTGTTGTGCTTAGTTGCTCACAGGGGCTAAACCACGACACCCTTCTATCTCATATCAGTGACACTGGGTCTCTTGAAGCAGAGACCTCGTTGCTCCACCACATCCATGCCAATGCTAGAATAACAGCACAGAGTTGAAACTGTAGAAAATCCATTTTGCTTTCCCAATTTTAACATTCTCCCTTCTGTAAAGCTAATGACACTCTGTGCTCCAACGCTGCCATTTTTCAACAGACTTTGAACCATCTCTCTCAGCTTGCTAGATACCACATATTGCACAGACCTGCTGTTTTGCTATGCTGTAAGTATTTTACTACCAGACAGGGATTCATGTTTTTTTGTTCTTTCCTTTTCTTTTCTTTACTTTTTTCCAGAGACGTGCAGCTGACAATCTGAGAAGACATCATCAATACCAGGTACAGGCCCATATTTATTTTTTGAGCAATTATTTCTCTATGTCTCCTAAAGGTCTTCAGGAGGGGAAAAAAAAGGAAGAATTTCATGAGAAAGGATAAAAAAAAAAAAAAAAGGAATGAAAAAAACACAAAATGCATACTTCCTTCATCCTCGGCAAATGAGCATAGTATTTTTGGTCTTCAAACAACAGCATTTGAGAAGTATGGTTGTCTACTTTTAAGGTGCAAAAGGATATTTCCTAGAGCAATAATATACTAACCAGTATTTTGCCCACTGTAACATGGATTGCCTTTAAAAAAGCAGACACATAGTCCCACCTCCCTGCTGGGATTCATCGGGATCATGTGTGTAGCTCACTGACATGTTTGGTCAGAACCTGCTCTCCATCTCTCTGGCTCTGGTCCCCCATAGACAACTTCCTAGCCTTTAATAACCCCTCTGTCTAGACCCCTGTAAGCTGTTCTTCTTCTCCATCCTTCCTGCTTCAGCCTCTGATTTTTTGAGATTATTGTAGCACAAGGAATAATTTTCAGATTTATTTTCAATTTTTGTTGTGTTAAAAGGGCTGCAAGTTAAACAAGATGTGGGCTGTACACTTGTAGGTTTGGTAATTAATGGATTCCATATGGGAACTGACTAGGTAAACTAGGACTTTTCCAACCTGAAAAAGAGACAGCTGTGGGAAATACAACAGGGATCTATAAAATCATGGGGAAGGTGAACACAGAGCAGCTGTTTACCATCTATCCACAAACTGAATACCAGACATGTATTAGGCTACATTAGTAAGGCTGTAGGCAGCACTTTGAGGGAAATGATTATTCTCCTCCAGCCCACACTTGTAAGACTCTATCTGGAGCAGTGTGTCCTGTTTTGGGCCCCCCACTACAAGAGAGATGTTAACAAACTGGAAGGAATCCAGTAAAGGGCCACCAAGATGGTTAGAGGGCTGACATAAAAGGAGAAGCTTGGATTTCAGCCTGGAGTAGGTTAAGGGGGATCTAATTGCTGTCTTCAATAACACAGTGGGTGGTTAGAGAGGAGGAAGAGCCAGATTTTTCTTGGAGGTGCACAGCAAAAGAACAGGAGTCAACAGACGCAAGTTGTAGGAAGGGAAATTCCATAAAGAAAATCATCATCACAATGAGGGTAGTAAAGAATTGGAAAAAGTTCTTCAGGAAGGTTGCAGCACCTTCACCCTTGGAGATATTCAGCACTTGACTGGACATGGACCTGAGGTAGGTCAGACAGCCTCCACACATCCCTTCCAACCTAAAGAATCTTAGGATTCTTAGAAGTAGAATGCAACAATGGAAACTATCAGGGAGCAGGTTAAAAATAAACAAAACCCCAAATGGAATCTTATTCCAACTATACTGTGGAATTCATTGGCAGAGGATTTGTGGATGCTGAAAATTCACATGAGTTCAAAACACATAGGAAAACCTGTCACAGCCCATTAAACATAGAGCTATCATTTCTGATTCAGGAAGTCTCTGAATCTCACATTGCAGAAGGCTTGGGAGAGTATAGCTGGAAATAACGTACAACTGCACTAGACTTTACACTCCTCATGAGGCATCAGCAACTGCTCACTGTCATGTTACCGGCATGAGACATACCTTTGGTGAAACCAGATACAACAAGATAATTAATATCACCGCTTTCCATTGAAATGCAGAACAAATTTTCAACCAGGTCTAAGGTTTATACATTTTTTGTCATGTTCCAAAAGCACAAAGAAGTCCAAGCAGGCCCAGTGACTGTAGGTTTAGTAACTAATATCAAGAAAGCTAACACAAAATTTTATATTTTTAGGAAGTTATGAGAAATCTGGTTAAGAGATATGTTGCAGCAATGATAAGAGATGCCAAAACTGAGGAAGGACTGACGGAAGAAAACTTTAAGGTATGTGATAATTTATATTTTTTTAGGTGTTTTAGTACGACATTATAAGACTGTGAAGCATATTTTTCAAACTCCCCAGTTGTTCAGGTAGCATATAACTTGCTTCCTAGAGCAGTGTCTGTGTCCTGATGGACCACACATAGATAGTATTGTACATGGACTCCAGCAAGTCTCCTTCTTCCTTTAGATGGAGAAATAATCAGTCTTATCAGCTAGTTGGATTGCGCCCATGTAAGGGGACACCAAAGTGGGACTAAGAATGTGTAATAACATATTTGCTAAAGCAAGATGCAAATAGTTTCAGCATTTTAGGAAATAGAATTTTTCTGCTCTAGAGTGCTTTTGTGCATTTATTTGTATACAGAACACCTTTTATATGACTTAAAAGATGGAAAACCTAAATAAGCAATCAGATATTAAAATCCTTTGACACAGATGAAGTGAACAGGACCATATATATCACAATGCTTATATCCATCACTGTGTATTTCTAGCATCAAACATCTTTGTTACTATTGGCACCTCAAACTCCAAACATTCAAAATAATATTAATCTCCCTCAGCTTATGCATGCAGAAGATACAGCCAGAGCCTGAGCTAATTGCCTCATTATTGCTTCATTCAGGTTATCTTGAGAGCCATCACATGGCACAGGACAATCAGGCAATCAGGCCCAGTCAGCATGGGTTTATGAAAAGCGGGTCCTGTTGACTAACCTGATCTCCTTCTATGACAAGGTGACCCACTTAGTGGATGAGGGAAAGGCTGTGGATGTTGTCTACCTGGATGTTAGTAAAGCCTTTGACATCATTTCCCATAGGATTCTCCTGGAGAAACTGGCTGCTCATGGCTTGCATGGGTATATTCTTCACTGGGTAAAAAACTGGCTGGATGGCCAGGCCCAAAGAGCTGTGCTGAATGGAGTTAAATCCAGTTGGCAGTCAGTCACAAGTATTGTTCCCCAGGGCTCAGTATTGGGGCCACTTCTGTTTAATGATCTGGACGAAGGGATTGAGTGCACCCTCAGTTTGCAGGCGACACCAAGCTGGGCAGGAGTGTTCAGCTGCTTGAGGGTAGGAAGGCCCTGCATAGGGATCTGGACAGGCTGGATCGATGGGCTGAGGCCAATCATACAAAACTCAACAAGGCTAAGTGTTGGGTCCTGCACTTGGGTCATAACAACCCCATGCAATGCTACAGGCTGAGGGAAGAGTGGCTGGAAAGCTGCCTGGTGGAAAAGGACCTGGGGGTGCTGGTTGACAGTCAGCTGAATATGAGCCGGCAGTGTGCCCAAGTGGCCAAGAAGGCCAAGAGCATCCTGGCTTCTATCAGAAATAGTGTGGCCAGCAGGAGCAGGGAAGTGATTGTCCCTCTGTACTCAGCACTGGTGAGGCTGCACTTCAAATACTGTTTTCAGTTTTGGGCCCCTCAATACAAGAAAGACATTGAGGTGCTGAAGCATGTCCAAAGAAGCCAACAAAGGTGATGAAGGGTCTGGAGCACAAGTCTTATGAGGAGCAGCTGAGGGAACTGGGGTTGTTTAGCCTGGAGAAAAGGAGGCTGAGGGGAGACCTTGTTGCTCTTCTACAACTACCTGAAAGGAGGTTGTAGTGAGGTGGGTGTTGGTCTCTTCTCCCAAGTAGTTAGCGAAAGGACAAGAGGAAAGGTCCTCAAGTTGCACCAGGGGAGGTTTAGTTTGGATATTAGGAAAAATTTCTTCACCAAAAGGGTTGTTAAGCATTGGAACAGGCTAACCAGGGAAGGGGTTGAGTCACCATCCCTGGAGGTATTTAAAAGACGTGTAGATGTGGTGCACAGGGACACGGTTTAGTGGTGACTTGGCAGTGTTACTTTAACAGTGGACTCGATGATCTTAAAGGTCTTTTCCAACCCAAATGATTCAATGATTCCATGATTATCTCTTTAGAGAAAATGAAGAGAAATAGGGACCTCTTGAAGGCAAGATGCGTTCTCCTGAGACAGGCCTTTAAGAGACAGAGGTTGCACTGGCTGAATGCAGCCTGCAGTGATTAGCTCTGACTTAGCTGCCAGCTGCCAAATATTTAGTGGAAATGCACGAAGTCCTACCTGCACTGCTACTCACAGGGAAGTATGCAAATGTGTGTATGCCTTGTGTGTGCGTGTGTCCCCATGTGTGCGTGTGCAAGGGATGGTCTTAAGAGCTGATCAAAATTCTGTAATTATGATGGGATTATACTGTCTAGCAGACTGGTTGTAGGTCTTCAAGTTGTCCATGCTCCTTCCTCCACCACTTTCACTGATTTCCATGAGCAGTCTAGGCTAAGGCACATTTCCTCTGAAGATTCCTCTGGTAAAATTCCTGATTGCTTTTCTGTCTCACCTGGAAGATCCATTAGACAGTCTGCAAAGCACCTTGAAGATGCTAGGTATTATCCAGATGGTGAAGTTTATTACTGATCCCTAGCATAAGCCTTTTTTTTTTCTTTTTTTTTAATTACTAGAGGAAAAGTCAAACTAGCTTTCATGCTCTGATGTTTCATCTTTCCTCCTAATTTTTAGGAGTTAAAACAAGATATTTCCAGCTTTCGTTTTGAAGTCCTGGGTTTGTTAAAGGGAAGCAAGCTGTCTAATTTGCAGACTGCAAAGATGAACAAAGATGCTGCCTCTCTCTCAGAAAATGAAGAAAACAGTGAGAGTGAAGGAAACAAGAAAGGAAAGAAAAAGACCTTCAGCCTTTTTGACATAACAACGATGATTCACCCAAGATCAGCTACTATTGCCTCTGAAGCACATAATGTAAGCAATGGCTCAGCAATGATGGTGTCAGAGTCCACTAAGGAGAAACAGAAGCGTGTGAATTTTGTAACAGACATAAAAAATTTTGGGTTATTTCACAGACGATCAAAAACAAACTCTGTGGATCAGAGTACAAATAAAATATACACCGTTTCTGAAGAAGTTTCCCGTCAACAGGCAGAAGAACAATGTGAGAAAACTGCTGAACTGGAAGAGGGAGAAATGACCATGAACTGTGAATTAGATGTCCAAAGTCCTGACGAAAAACGTGTGTTAGCTGAGTCACAAAATAATGGCAACTCTTCGGATTCACAGGAAGAGGGAAGTATTTGTGCTTCAGAAACAGAGAAAGTGGAGTTACAGAACTCAGAACCAGCCACACCGCAGGATCAGCTGGATGAGGAGTTGGACATTAGCATTGACTGTGATGGGAAACAGGAATCAATTGATCAGGGTGATTATGTGATAACAAGGTTGTGATGCTTACAGGAGGCATTTACAAATATATATATATTTTGCATAGTGCTTTTGGGGGCAATGTTTTAAGGATTAAATTAGCAAATGCAGAATTACACTTTATAGTATTCAACTGTGGCACATGATCTTCTAACATAGTAGTCAAGAGAAAGATAATACGAGGACCTTCTGTTTTGTAGCCTGCTTTAGCTTTCACGATTTGTTTTACATTTTTTAATAAATGGAAGCATCTTGTATTCTTGTACTGTTGCAATAACCCACAGAAACTTTTTAGCTATCTTTTTCAATTATAACAAATGCAATTTCTCTCATATGATAGTTGACTCCTCTGATAAATATTTTTCTATGCAAATAAAAAGTAGCTTAAGAGACTTGTAAGCCTTTATTTAACTTTGTAGGTTCTTAAAATATTCTGGGCACCATAGTAATCATAAGCAGCTCCTTGTCAACATAATTCATGTCAAGCTATTAGAATAATTTATTTAAATTGCTACAAACTTGATTTGTTTCAAAAGCTATACAGAATCAAAAGTTAAAGTATATTCTTTTATTTATTGAAGGAATATGAATACCTGTGAATTATGAAAGATCAGTCTGTTTCATTATTTAATTACAGCTTCTCCCTCCCAGCAAGAGGATTATCACCATCCTGATACCATTGTTAGAAAAGCATTTGCAGGATTTGAAGACTGTAAAAAAATGTTTCTTATAGTAAAAGAAATATCTGTGGCTTGCTAAAAACTGATGACGGATTACTTCCCTGAAATCCGTAATCACAACAGCTACTGCTTTTCAACCATTTATTTTTCCAAATGTGGTCAATCTATGCACTTTAATATTCAACTGCTTATTAGCTTTTGCCTTCACAATACATTTGTATTTGCTAAGAGAAAGATACTTCAGGAATAAATGAACATACAGTGATCCCCTGAGTACTTGGAAAAACATGACAATTTGTTGAGAAGTTTCTAAAGGCAAGCCTTAAGAGAGTTTCTTTGACAATTTCAGAGTTTGGGGGAACCTGATTGGAGGTTTTATAAAAAAATACTTAGACATTTAAATGTATAAAGAAAACCTAATAGTATTTTTCATAACTGATGAGTGACTTATTGTCTTAGTCAAAACCAGTATTTTTAAAATTAAACAGTCTGTTTCTTTTTAATCAGTGACTGGTGTCCTACATTATTAAAAATGTAATTTTGCAACTGACCTAAGAATGACCACCCTTGAACTCTCAGCATCATCATTCTCCTCCCTTGGAAACATGTGAATACACCACATCAGTGTGGTCATTTCATTCTTAACTTCCCTCTCCCTGCCATGACAGATTTTTGTAGATCATATTAGCCTGTATTAACGAACTTCCAGAGGCACAGAGTACACTTATATTCCAGATGGAATCCATCACATGTAACTCCCACCTTGTAGGACCTGACCTAAAGCCATACCATTCTGGATCTCAACTATCCTGGTACAGAACTGAGTTTTTAAACCCCTCTCATCTCTGTACTTTTAGGTAGGTTTTCCAGCTCTACTTTACACATGTGCTAGTCTCTCTGAGCTCACATTGAAAGCTTCCTTCCTTCACACCTGTCTGTGCCATGGCACCTAGGAGTGAATTAGTTGAACCAAACTGGAAAATTGTTTGCACAGCTTTGCAACAATACACTCAGACCACATTTGAGTGCTAAGATATGGTTGATTTCCATCTTGGCCTCTTGACTTCTCTGTGGACCTTCACATCTCTCTTCTCACCTTCACATCTCTCTCCTTGTCCACCTTTAGATTGTGAGCTCCTCGGGGCAGGGCCTGTAGCTTTTCTGTTTGGAAAGCACCTGAATTATTACAAGCATAACAATAAATAAATAAATAAATAGATTTAATAATAAT